TCCAAAGGATTATAAATCGTTCTATTATAGGGACACATGTACACGAATGTTCATTGTGGCACTGTTTACAATAGCAAAGACTTGGAACCAACCCAAATGCCCATTGATGACAGACTGGACAGGGAAAATGTGGCACATATACATCATGGAATACTATGCAGCCATAAAAAACGATGAGTTCGTGTCCTTTGTAGGGACATGGATGAACCTGGAAACCATCATTTTCAGCAAACTGATACAAGAACAGAAAATCAAACACCGCATGTTCTCACTCATAGGCGGGTGTTGAACAATGAGAACACATGGACACAGTGAGGGGAGCATCACACACTGGGGTCTGGGGGGCGAACTAGGGAGGGACAGCAGGGGGTGGGGAGTTGGGGAGGGATAACATGGGGAGAAATGTCAAATATAGGTGATGGGAAGGAAGGCAGCAAACCACATTGCCATGTATGTACCTATGCAACAATCTTGCATGTTCTTCACATGTGCCCCAAAACCTAAAACACAATAAAATATACATATTTTTTAAAAGAATAAATAAAATTAATTAATAAAAAAAAAAGGAATGCTCTAGTTTAAACCAATTAGGGTTGACTTCTGGATCTGTGGGTGGGGTTAGCCCCATCCAATTTGGTGACTAAGAAGCTGGGGTGGGGAATGGAATTTGGGAAGGCAGCAAGCAAATAATACTTAACTCTGTAGAGCACTTACCACCTGTCAACTACTGTTCTCAGCACTTTGCTTACAACAGCCCAAGGAGTTGCATCCTGACATCATTCCCATTTTACAAATGAGGAAACTGAGGCACAGGGAGCTTAAGTGGCTTGGTGACACTTCGAGGAAGTGGCAGAACTGGAAGCAAATATCTTGGGACTTTTGTAAGAGGTGCCAGGACTGGTACATCCTAAGCTCTTCCACCTGCTGAGAATCATTCTTTAGGAAAAGCTGATAGGATGAGGTCTGGCTGGGGAAGAGGACTCCTGGCTGCCTTCTCATCTTCCACTTGTCTTTCCTGTCCACAGTGGGATGATTTCATGGAACTTGGCGGAAGCATCCCTGACACCCAACTGGAACAGGTCATCCAGAGCCAGAAGGCGAATCAGTGTGCCGTGCTCATCTACACTTCGGGGACCACAGGCATACCCAAGGGAGTGATGCTCAGTCATGACAATGTATGCCAAAGTCCTTTTGCTCTGAAGTAGTGGCCTCTGGGCTGTTTCTCTTCTTGGCTTCCAGGGGCAGCATGGATGGCATTCCAGGGTCTAGCAGGCAGTCGCTCCTTCACCACTGGGGGATAGAGAGTAGTGTAGTTGCTTCACTAGGGGGCAGCAGAGTGCAGCCATTGAGAGCAAGGAATGCTGGTCAGGTCAGAAGCAGAAAAATATCTGGCACGGTATGCACCCGAGGAAGGGTGTGTGTGTGTGCTGGAGTGTGTGTGTGTGTGTGGCACGGTATGCACCCCAGGAAGGGTGTGTGTGTGTGCTGGAGTGTGTGTGTGTGGCGGGGGGCACGTTATGCACCCAAGGGTGTGTGTGTGTGCTGGAGTGTGTGTGTGTGGCACGGTATGCACCCCAGGAAGGGTGTGTGTGTGTGCTGGAGTGTGTGTGTGTGGCGGGGGGCACGGTATG